GGAAGGGGCTCCCTCTTGTCTGCCCGGCGTAGGTCATCCCCCAGCCTGTCCCATAAAGGGCTGGTGATTTTTCCTTCATCTAAGAACCATGGGGCATGATTCTCTATAGTGTTCAGGAATGCCCTGGCAGTCTTCGTTTTCAAAGGGGTTCCATTAGCTCTAAGGAGCGCTTTCAGAGGTTCCTCGGCCCTAACCCTAGAGGCCTCCGTCCCCATCCTCTCTCTAAAGGGGCAAGTATCCTAGTTATGATTTAGATGGACTACGTCGCTAATTCCGCGAACCTTTTGATTTCGTCGCCACTCTGCGAACCTTTTGATTTCGTCGCCGCTCTGCGAACCTTCACTGGCGCCTCCTCATTCCATATATTATAATAAACAATGTCACAAACACTAACAGGACACACACACTACACATAAACACCCACCGCAACTGCCTGCTGTCTGCCCTGCCACGTATACTTTCAGTTTACTCGCCGATCCACTCACCCTCCTCGGTTCCCTCTCCCGGTCTGGCCAGCCGACCGAACGGCGTCCAGCGACGTTCCTGAAGAGTTACAAGCTCTACTTCATCGGCAGGCGCCAGGGTCAGCGGATCAGGTCGCGACGAGGTTTAGCGATTCCCGGGGTTCGGCACCACTTGTCGCGACCCTTCAGGGACCGAAGCAACACGCCCAAGGTCTTGATTCTTCTCTAGGCTTTATTGTCTAATCTCTCACGGCGGTTACAGCAGTTGTCGGGAAGCTCCTCTCCCTCCCGGCGGGCTCCCTTATATTCAGTCACCCAACCAATCTGGGACAGTATCATGCGTGACCTTTAAGCGGATAGGTGTCACGCGCCACTCTAAGCGGGCAGCACGAGCTGTGCACGGGTACGGAAGTCTGCTGGGCCAATCCCCAACAGGGAAGAGGGGAAAGGGTGGTGAGCAGGAAGCAGGCGCCATCTTTAGGGCGTTGTCCAGCTAGAGTGGGGCTCAGCCTCGGCCGTAGGCCGGGCCCCCACAGTTGGGGGAACAAAGCAGTGCAGAGTCAGTGGTATGACAGCACATAGCAGCACAGCAGTGACAGCAAGTCACTGCCATGACTTAGAACTCAGGCAGCAGTACAGAGAGCAGCAGCCCTTCCTGGCAATAGCGGGTCAAAGCTGCAACTTAGAATCTTCCAGGTGGAACATAGAGAGCAACAGTCTCTCCAGTCCCATAGATGACAAGGCATTGTGGCATCCTGGTCCCAGAGAATGGGACACAGCATCCATGGGGCTCCTACGAGCAGGTCTTACCACAGTGACAGCTCTGTCCCCTCAGTGGGGACTCCATGCATCTCCACTAGCTGGATTTGGTGTTGGTACAGAAAGTGAGGCTTCTCAGTAGCAAAGCTGAAAATGTCCACAGCAGTAACAAGGCTTCCTGGGGTACTCCTCTCCTTTTCCCATGGGGTGAAATCCCTCCAGGGGGTCTGTCTTTGCTCTGAGCTGCTCTGCACTGGGGGCAGGGGGGTGCAAGTAAAGTCCTTCCTATACTTTTCTACATGACCCTGCCTGTTTTTTGAGCTCTGCAGGGTTTCTGCTGCTTCTTTCCTATGGTTCAGAGCTTTCATGCAGCTCTTTTTGTCTGTCTGTGTTTTTTTAATATATTGTTTGTGTGAGGGAGATGCACTTTGGGACCTCCTAGCCTGCCATCTTGCTTATGTCAGTCCCTACAGTGAAATTCTTGTTTAAGATTGAGAGAGTGGAAAAGAATCGAGAAAGGTAATAGAATAAATGTTCAGTCTAGACATCGGGGAGGGGAGGTTTTATCTATAGTTAAAGCTTTATTAATTTGACTAATGGCACAAGTAGCACGTATCACACAGTCATATTCAGCTAGGGCCTACAGGTGATGTTCTGTAGCATATTTATGTTTTTTTGCTTAAGATAAATATTGATCTTTTTGCCTTTTAGTATTTGCATTCCTTAAAATACACAATTTATGATGACCCATAAAAAAGCAAAGGTAAACCAGTTTACGAATTAAATGTTTTCTCTAACTGGTCCATATGTAGATAAGCACAAAAAAAGAAAATCATATTGGAAAAGTGCACACTCATGAGGCAACTTCCCCACCAGTGCCCAGTGCAATAAGTAAAATCCGTGTCTGCTTATCTAGTAGATTTAGTAGGTTTAGTAGTAGATCTGGTAGGTCATAATTTGGAGCCAAATGAATATATAAATGTCAAAATGGGAGCTAAATTAACCCTCAATTTTTTAAAAAATCCTAACAAACTACAATTGGTCCTTTTAAAGAAAAAACTAAATTTGCTGGTAACTGGAGTTGATAAAATGTCTGAGCTTTTCAACAAATTCACATAGAAAGAACTAGTTGAGAACAGAGTTTTATTAAATCAGAAATAAAGCTTAAATGGTATATATAGCATGTAGGAGCTGATTTGTGGGGAAAGTCTGATTGTGTTACTGATTTATACTTCTCAATAGTTGGGACAGGTCCTAGCTGTTTCTGGTCAAGGTCTGGGTTTTACTGAGAGTGTCTGTGAAATTAAAGAACTGGGAATCATTCATAGGATCTGACAGTAGAGAACAAGTGGGATACAAAATGTTTCGTGAGAATGTGGCCTCTGGAAGGGCCTCACACTAAACAATGTTTAAATTTAGTTTCAACATTCCCAACACAAATAGAGAGAAATTCACAGTTGACACAAAGATGAGTTGTCTTCATCCATTTTTCTTCAAAGTTGCTTACTCTGGAAAGGATGCCAAATTTGAGATGTTCCCATAATCACCCCACACAGACAGCATACATCCTTTGTACATCAAAAGGAGAGCAGTGACTCAGGGCAGAGGGCCCTAGGGGATGGGTTTGCTGAAATTGCTCTTCACTAATTACACATGCTTGTTTATTCTTTCTTTATTTTAGAATTAGAATAGGAAAGATTTAGTCCAAAAATCTGGGTTAGCTCCAGACTTTGGATTTCTCATTAAACTTGGCTACTTGAGGATCGATGTTCCTAAATAAGCCAGTAATCTTTCAGTGCTTGCAAACACTAGTGATAAATCATCTATAATGGTGAATTGATCTTTGAAAACTGACCTTGTCAATGCCAGAGAGAACCATTTCATATTGCCCACCCTGGGAAGATTAAATCTGTTAATTTCTCAGGTGAACTCAGCCAAGACTCAGTCTTCTCTTGAGCCAAAACTTTTTTTCAAGCAAAGCTCACTTCAGCCATTTACCTTTAGGAGAAACACAGCTTTACTCCCAGGTTCACTTATCTCCATGTAAACCACGCCTGTGTTCTTAATATTATGCTATGTTAAAGGTTGTCACTGTGGTTGTAAAATTTAGAATATCAAGGTCAAGAAGCTAAAAGGGTTACTTTGGCATAAGCCTTCCTGCGGTCGGGGGCTCTTTCAGGGCCTGAGGCTCCCCTGCCTCTCATTGGGTCTGTCCATTCCTGCAAGTTATTTGTGGCTGTCTGGGGAACTCATTTAACACTGTCCTCCCTTGCACAGTCTTAGGAGGGAGAGTTGGAATTTCCTAGTCCTTGTTAGAATGTTTGCTCCAATCTAGAAGTGTATAGGGATTAAAAGAAATTATATGGTAAGGAGCGAGTCTCACAGAGAGCCCTGAGGAATGAAACCTGGAAGGTGCCATTGTTTTTTCATCCTCCGTATGCTGATCTGGAGTGAACTGTGTAGCAGCACAACCAACTGATGAAATTCCCACCAGAACTCCAAAGCTTGACAACCATAGTAAAATAAACCCTGTGCAAGCAGAATATTTGGAGGGAAGGTTTTGAAGTTAATTGAGTTTTATGATTAACAGAAAGTTATCCAGAAAACCATTTTGGCTTCACCTCATATTAGTGGAGGCCTTTCTAGAAAGCATGGGTCCAGTTTCCTTTTTTGAGTGTAATTAGAAATGTAGTGTCATCATTCTTTTTAGAATTAAACTCTTCAGCACCTCCCTAACATTATCTTAAAAGCTTATTCTATGTTTCCTATAATATGGCTATTGAAAATAAAGTAATTGAGCTGGAACTATACAGACTCCAGAATAGCATCAGAGTTATTAGCTTAAAGGGAAAAAAAAGTTCCTGCTATGAGATTTCATCATTTTTCTGGTTTTCAGAAAACAGACTGTAGAAAAATTCAATCTAATTGAAGGTTACGAATTCTCTGAATGTGACTGTTTCTAGTTTAAATAGTGTAAAATAAGGTGGTGAAAAGGGCTAACTTCATTCCTAAGTCCTGGATTTTAGTTCTGCTTCATTCTGGGTCTCATCATGAGACCCTGGACAGGCTTTCTCTTCCAACTCTGAAATGCAGAATATATCTCGGGAAGAAAAATCATGCAGTTTTTCTTGCTTTACTGAAATATATTCTTGCAATTAATATCACTTTCCCATTTTCTTTTATGGGACTATTTTATCCCATCATGAATATCCATATGTACATATATGTATATAAAATTATGTAAAATTCAAGTTTTCCATAATTTCCATAATGTACAGAACTCCACAGAGATCACCGTATTTTAGGAGGGAAGAAAAGGCCTCTATTAGTGTCTGTTTCTAAGCTCTTTCCAGAGACTGTAAACGTGGCCTGGGAAGGCTATAATGAGTCAGTAGTTTATAGAGTATTAAGATACTTAATTAGCAGTGATTCTTGAGCATGTCCAATAGAGAACACATGTTTATAAAGGGCAGATTCAACACAACGTGTCTTTGGCCTAACCAACCCCCAATCAATTAACAAAATGGGATGTCTTATTTTACGTATCTCCCACTCCCCGAAAATAGAATCACTAACCACTTGTTAACCACACTGACTTTCCTAACAGACAGAGCGGTTGCTCTATCTCTGCCACCAGAAATGTTCAGATTAAGTTCCCTGTTAGATTTCAGCCAACAGAGCCTACAAAACAGGAAGAAAGCTCTGCTTGCTTTTTTGCCTCCTTTCCTGGTCTGACTTGATGTGATAATTCATTGCAGATTTCTTTTTCTTTGACAGAGTGCCTACCGCAGGAATGGGATGGCTTTTCTGGCCTGCTGATGTGACTACAACTGACTGCAACAACAGGAAAGGCCATGTTATATTAAGGTGATTTCTGTTCCCCTCTTTGGACAAAATAAAATCCAAGTTTACCTTCTCTGTGTCCTCAGGGGTGGGTTGGTTTGTTGTGACTATCAACTGGCTGACTGCAGCTCTTTTCCAGCCCCCTGGACACTTAGTCTTGTTTACTAGATGGGCCAGCTAGCCAATTATTGGCAGGATGTTTGCCATAGTGTGTAGGTGGACAAGAATGCACATCACACAGTTTTGAAATTTCAATTTGGAATGGATTTACTTCCCTCAGCTCGCATATCTTAAAAGCAGTATCTTTTTTTTTTCCCAGTGTTTAGTCTATGGGGTATTTTTTTTGATGCATTTTGTAATTCAGGTTTGGGAAAAAGGAAATAAAATTAAAGGGACGGTCAGTTTTCCCCTTGCCCCATACCACCATCGTTGCTTCCCACTTTGTTGACTATCTGTGTATTTTAGAGACAAGTATCCATTTTATAGACTCACACTAATCAAAGACCTAGGGAACCAGATGAATCATCTGTTACCTTCTTCTCTTCCCTCCACCCCACAAATGAGTATATGTGTCACTTTTATGCCTGTTCCCAACTTCCTGCATATTTCCTTATCACCTATGTTTTTTCCTCACATAGACCCTCTTCTCTTGTCTACATAATTCTCTCCTTTCCCTGTCCCTCCAGTCCCAGGGCCCACCACTCACCCACACACCATATCTGTTTAGTAGCAACATAATCAGAATAAATAGAAGAAGGGGGGGGAACTAAGTGATTTGCTTTCTCCTTTCAAAGCACTACCACACCTAGACTGCAAATGTAGCCTGGGGAATTTTTCGCTGGTAGCAGCTGAGCTACTCCTCTGGCATCTATACTTGCTTCAGTAAATAAGGAGCTGCTACTCTTGGGAACAAACCAAAATACAGCAGATGTAATTGTACAGTTCCTGATTAAACCTGAATTGCAAAAAAGGAAGTTATTTCTTTAATTTTGTAGAGTTTTGTGTAATTTTACACACACTGAAACAGCCTTTGTAAAGAACTCATAAAAGCAGAAATGAGAAGCATGAAAGATTTTCCTCTTGTGACCAAATCATTGGGAGGCTCAGTTAATATGATTGCACCATATTATTCACATTTGTTAACTATCATTTACCTGTTCTGTGTTTGTTCTTCTGGAAAAATCTTCATGTCAAGAACAAAAAATGCAGATATATAATATCAAAAAATTGCCAAAGTGTTTTGATGTTCCATCTGTGCTTATTAAAATATATGATTAAAATTTTCTTTTTATCATCATTCTTATTTTTCTTGGCATCCCTAATCATGGAAAATTATAAACTTGCAGTAAACATCCTAACTTTTAAAACAACAGCATTTATTGTATTTGTTTTCGATCTGCCAGGCTTATAGATGTATAAAATTTTCAGGAGCTAATTTTTCATGTCAGAATTCCTTTTGTCCCACATTATACATTTTAAAGTGTGCAGAAGGCAGAAAATACAAGGCTTAGGTTTTTTCCCCTCATTTTATTCTACCTGATCTCCTTATAATCCCAGAGAAGGAAGACTCAATGTACATTTCTCTCAGAAATATGACAGGTCTGTGTTTTTGTTGGTCTGGCGTATGTTTGTCTATCTTGAACAGCCTGACAGGCAATTATTTATAAAATCTGGTTTTGCCCAGTAAGTCCATATAATAACCTTTCACTTTTCATCATAAGCCAGTGAGCTGAATTTAGAATAAAACAAGGTCATTTATGTCTGTCCCAAACCAGCCTAGATGGTCATTTATGTTTGTCCCAAACCAGCCTAGATGTCCCCATAATTGCTCAATATTAATATTTTTAATTCTTTTTTTTTTCTTTTCTACACTTAGGTTCTTTTTCTGACTCTTTCCACACACTGAATTGAAGTGAAATAAAATTTCCTTAAAAAATTAGTATTGGGAAAAAAAAATTTATAGAGGGAAAGTTTCAGAAAATGTGACTTCAGTAGTTTGCTCTCTCAAGATTAAAATATTACATAGAATCACAAAATGTTAGAACAGAAGATGGTCTTAAAGCTGATTGAAAACAACCACTCATTTTACAGATGAAAAAACATGGCCTAGAGAGGGAAACAGACTTTCCCAAGATCACTCACTAATGGCATTGGCAGACCAGAGACCAGATCCCTGGTCCTTCATTCGCAGTCTGGAGTGATACTCCACCACTATGGATTGGCAGGATACACCCAGACACATTGGAGCTTTATGGCATGTTTATGTTAGACAATAACCAAAATTTATAAAAATTGTTAGTAAGTGTGGACACATCCTGAAACCTGCGTGTTATATTTTTCTCCGAAAGGACTATGGTATTAATTAAATAATATGTGTTATATGTCAGTCATATGTCAGTTTTTAAAAAGGGGCCTGCAAGTAATGGGAATTAACATACTTTGAGTACCTATTTATATCAGGAACCTTACCTCTGGGATTTCATTTATATTCACAATGACTTTATGAGGTAGATGCTATTTTTTGAAAAAATCAGGCTCAACTCTAAATCAGTGTGAATGCCCATAATGGTTTAGTTTATAGATAAAAATAGTTTATTTTCTGGAAATTGAATTTGAAAATAAATAAATGAAACCAACAAATAAATAAATAGCCTCTCTTATGGGAAATTGGCACTGCCTCAGGTCTGAGGATATAGGAAATAGAAATATTTCTCCTTTTACCTAAATTTGGAAATGTGACTTTCTGAATATGCCATTTTAAGGCTATGTCATTAACCTTCCTGCCTTCACATATTGCAATAGTCAAGATTGAAAATTAATGTTCCAATTTTAGAACCAAAAGTTTTTATTTAAAAACGATCAGAAGCATAAATATTTTTCTAAATGGTATATATAATTCCTGTGTCAGGGAAGAATTCTTCATTTATTAACATTTGTTCGTTGTTCCTTATAAAATAATAAATAATCCACATTTAATGTCTTTACCACATAGAAGACAAATAAACATAAGTGGTGATTCTCAGTCTAAAAGAAAACAAGTTTACTTGTCCAGAAATTATAGAGTTTAATTTTATGAAAAAATTTTTATGTAGTTCCAAAATCAGGTATTTCTTTCCAGGTCATATAACCCCTTGTGTAAAACTGAATCACTACAGAGAATGTGTTCCCTCACCTGCCTTCCTGGAATTTAGATAGAACCTTCCCAGATTGCATTTAAAATTCTACTATCAACCATGTATACATCTCATAAAATATTTCACAGTTTCCTGTGTGCTCTGGCTGAACATTTCATAGTACATAAACACTTCTGCAGATAATATAAGGGCATCAAGTTGAATATGTCAAAGCAGTGGCAATCAAGTGGAATCAAGTGGAATCAAGACTGATTCTCTGGCAGTTGGTTTTCTTATTTTTATCTTCTTATTTAAAATCCAAGATGAGACTTTCTGTGCTCTTATAAGGAGCAAGAGGGTGGACTCTAGAAGTTTTAGTGGAGTTGTGTTTATTAAAGAAAAGGTTTCTGCAGAGGGCATCAAGCCAAACTTACACAACAAAACCGTGCCTGAAGGACTTGGATGTAAATATGATGGTTAAATAAGGGCCAGATGCCTTTAAACACTCAAAAATTAGAAAGTCCTATCTCTTAAAGTAAGTCTCTAATGTTGTGAGTAGGATAGTAATACCATAGTTCTTAAAGAAACAAAGAAAGAAACTTGCATTTGATTTTCTGGAGCAGAATATTAAATATTCAAGCTGTCGTAGGTCATGAAACTTTTGGCAATTGAAATTTATTTTAAAACAATCAGTTCCTGCAAAGTCACAAGAAACCTAAATACAATATTTCATTGTTGGAAAGCATAGTAATTCTCTATAGAGCATTTTATTCATGTTCCTTTTTCTGCTCATCACTACCTAATATTCACTATCCCCCTTTTTTTCCAAAGGAAAATAAAAATAGGAGAAGATTCAGAAAAAAAATAAAAATAAAAATGATTCCTTATGTAATTTTACTTAGACCAGGTAAAACTACTTGCTATCAAAGTTACTTGCTAGTAAGTTTGACACTATAATTATAGCACACCACGTGTCTCCCTGTCATTAAATACGCACAACTCCACTACGAGATATGCACTCATTCCTTCTGTCGCCCACAGGCATTAGAGGAAAAACTGGGGAACAGCAGGTTCAGTGCCTTATGCAGAGGTACCCGAGATGGAGCTGGCATTTGCCCCCAGAGCTCATGCTATGAATCACCATTACACAGCATGGAAAGATTTCTAATAACATGTTAAAGAGAATTGCTGCCCTGAACCCAGAAGTGCTTTGCAGTACCAAAAAACTTGATTACAAGAAAATTTCACTTTAACCTAACAGTCCTTCCCTAAGGCCAAATATTATGTATATAATAGAATATCACATAATGTATAATAGAATATAATTATATAGAATGATGCCAAGTCCTCTGTAATGTCTTAAATCTTAGAATAAATATATGTGATCAATGCACATACTAAGAATCCTTAAATTTATGAGAAAAACCTTCAAAGATCCAAGATCCATGTGCATAAAGCCTCCTCTCTGTGAAGACCAGATTTCTCTGGAAGACTCTAATTAATTACTTAGGCTCCTATTTTATGTTTTCGTACAAGGTACTTATCTCATGGTATAAAATAATCCCCATCTTGTTTTCATGTGTTTGCAGTGACAGATACAGAAGTACATATGTCAGTCCCTTCAGATTTTATACAAATGTCCTTTAGGTATTTGCTCAATGATATGGTACAGCCATTGTTTTTCCTGACTTAGAGTCTTTGTGTATATGCTTGGGGAGGAGTGCTGAGCAGTGATAAAGAAGAAAGTGGAAAGAGGTTGCTGAGCACAATTTCAATTAAAAATGATTTTCCTCCCTCACTGGTCCTGAGCAGAGTCTTGAATTCAATCCTAGGTGTTGTTCTGCCTTAGAACAAGTCACTTTCTGATTTACAGCCATTAAGATCCCATCTAGCACTGTACCAGCCTGTGAAGCTGCACACCTACAGCTTCCTTTTCTGAGTTGTATTGATTTACTTCCTCCAGCCACTCTTCCGGGTGAAGTTAGTTCACCTGCCAGTACACTGGCCACTTCTCGTCATCACCCCCCTGAACCTGACTTTTGTGTGGCAGTCAGTCAGCAGTCCCTGAACCACAGTGATGCCTGCAGACAGTGTGTTGGCTTGCCGTGCCTCCACGGGTTGGGCCTGGGAAGAGACAGTGAGCCCAGAGGGTTCAGGCAGTTGATTACTCACACAGCAGCGTAAGCAGGATGAGCATGGTGTCAGCCTTCCATGTTCCTGATCCCTCAGGAAGACACCAAACTGGAGAGGCCAGATGACAGAAGATCTGAGTGGTGGGTCACTGTGTCATGGAGGTGCCGCTGTAAGCTACAGCCACACGGTTTTTTTAGATTGCATACCCAAAAGGAGGTTGAAGTGGAAAGTCCCAGGCCTCACCAGAACCGGGGAGGTGGGTGAGAAACTCTTTGTGGCAGCTTCTCCCAGGAGTGGCTCTCTTGCCACATCTTGGGATGACTTCATGGCGGAACAGTGGTGGAACCTGGCCTACATGGCCTGTGTGGAGACGTGCCCTTCCCCTACTATATGTAGAGTGTTGTGTGTTTCTGTTAACACGATGCAAAATCAGTCTTCCTCCTCTTCCCCACATTTTCATGGTTGCCTCCTTCCCTATCTCTTTCTCATAAAGCTTCCTGCTACCTCAGTGCACAGAACTTTCTGCTTCCTCTAAACTCTTCATACCCCCCTCTTGATCTCTATGCTTCCTATTTTATGTCCCTTAGCATCTCTCCGTATGCCTTATAGCCTGCATCAGACGACAGATTTCTTGAGGACAAGCCTTGAATTTATAACTTTGTAATTACCCCATGCACATATTAGGTATTCAGTAAACATTCATGTGTTGGTTGATAGAAAAGAAATTACTCATTTAAACATGAGCACAGAATCCTTTAGGGTTTTTTTGGTTTGGGGTTAAGTGTTTGTTGAATCTTTTATTGATACTTGTTTTAATTTGGCTGCAAATCTCATGCACTGTAGATGATCAGTCTTTTTCTTAAAGATAAATACAGTGTCTCAGAGAAACTAATTCAAAGCACTCCCTGCATCAGGTTTCTTGTGGCCTTTATGAGTAGGTCACTGGGACTTTAGTCTTCTTTGAAGGAGTTTAATGACCTCAGAAAGAGGTGTAACCTAAATCACACTTGTACTACTAAAGACCTAAGAACCTT